GCAGCTGCCCCAGGGGACCCCCCGCCATGTGGCCGCTCGCAGTGAGGAAAAGCCCGGTGTCGGTGCTGCAATAAAAGTATTTATTTATTATTTCCTTCGGGTGAAAAAAACCTGCTGCAGCAGGCTCAGGGTCTGGCCCCAACCAGCTCCATCGATCCCTGGCCAAGCCCCAGACTCCAGCATCCTCTCGGGGAAGGGCAGAGGGCCGGTGGCTCCAGGAGGCTGCCGGGGAGGCTCTTATGGCTATCGATTGCCCGCTGGCCTGCTCTGGGCACGTTCGTGGTGCAGGGGCTGGTGTGGCTTCTCCTTTGCCCAGGTCGGCGTCGCAGGGCATCAGCCTCCTGCTCAGTGCTATAAAGGCTTACTGGAAGAGACAGCCTATATATGTATATAGGCTATATATATATATACTCACATATATATGTGTCTGTGTGTCCACACATGCATACATGTGTGCATGGATGTATTTATTATATTTATGTACATTATATAGCAAATTGTAATAATATGTATAAAAGACATGAATATAGATATGACAAATTATATCTTATGTCTATATACACACATAATATGAATATATATTTTCCACCTCTGTACATATTGTGTGTGTATGTATAAACATGTGTGTATATATGCACACCCCACACTTGGTGTATATATGCAGACATAATTTATCATATCCTATCATAAATATACATACACACATCTATTTGACCTCCAGTTCATCGAAAGGGTTTCCTCCCTGAGGGCAAGCGAAGGCTCCAGTGATGGTGAGGTAGGGGGGAACCCTGGCTTTGGCAGGGCCGGCCTCAGCCCTTTGGGGTGGAATCGGATGACCCCAGTGCCAGTGAGCTGTAGAGAGGACAAACAGCCCCAGGGCCTGGGCCACCACGGCCAGGCAGGATGGAGGGGCTCTCGGGGCAGGATTTGGGCAGTTTTTCTTTGTGGAAACCTTGCTTTGCTTTTTTTTTTAAGCAACGATTACCTGAAATTATTTTTTAAGTGGTTGTTTAATGACGGGCAGGGTTTTTTTTTCTCACTACTTTGCCTCTGCTTTTGCATCAATCACATTCCCCTTAATGACCTAACAACTGTTAGGGGGCTTCCTGACCTCCCCCCCCCCCCATGGGGCCCTTTTTTTTCTTTTATTTTTTTC